GAATTCGTGAGATCTAATACCAAGAGAGGTTATATATGCATACCTTAAGCTGAATAATTCAAGAAAAATCGATCACTAGCAGTTGTCCAGAAGACCAATACTATCGGTCTTTTGTCTCCTGTAAAGTTATGTGATATGCATCGGTTTCGAGCAATTTCTCAGTCATTTAGGGTGCGTGTTCTGCATACAATAGTGTCATTCCAATCACAAATGAGAATCCAGGTGATTTTATTTATTGCTAACTAAGATCTCTAGTTTCCAGGGTCGAGATTGATTCCCCTATTGTGTTTGCAATATTAGTGTCGAGGTAAACCCTAGTACTGATCTTGCCTTAATTTGTAGATGACAGGTTAGTAATAAGTAACTTCACTAGTTAGTCGGAGGCTTAAGTTTAAGCTTTTGTATCAGGATGAGAAATTGAGTTAACCTTGGCAGAATTTTCGAAGGGCCAGTCCAACTATATAGCGTTGTAGTAGCATCTTCAGCGTATTGCGAACATACTTTTATATAGCTAGCTTGAAAAGGATTCCTTTAAACACTAGCCGTCACAGCTCTGCCTCGGTCAGACCTGCAATATTTCCTAGTTTTTCTTTGAGAAAATAATTGTTTAAGTAATCTCGTCGAGGTGCAATATTACATTGTTGGACCTTGAAGTAACATTCTCGTGCTGGGAGCTAATGACAGTTTTTCGCACAACTCTGAAAGCATACTGTGCCTTTATTTTATTATTGATGCTCCTCAATGTTTTTGGTTCACACATTTCTTGTTTAGTTTGATACCGTTTAACACAGGCGTTCTAGAAATAAAGGCTATTTAATTCACAGCCACTGATATAAAATCAATTGATTATTAATATATTAATATACAAAGAATTTATTTCAGTGATAAGCACATTTGCAAAGAATTATCACTTGTATATCGCTTATGAACCCCAGCTTCGTCTAGTTCCTGCTACACATGTTTCTACTCTGTATATTTAGGTAATATGCTGTAATGTATTGCATACTGTGCATATGGGCAGGAAAGGCGTAACTCAAAGATAAAATGTTCCCTAAGGTTTCTGGGGAATGAACAGTTAGTCGTATGAAGGAATCTCATTTCTAAGTAACTCTCTCTTGTCTCAAGCATTCTTTGGTGAACTGTAAACATTTTCAGTGATTTAGAAAGCACTGGTAAAATCTAGTATATTTTACGGCTTGGGAGTGTTAGGTAGAATTCTTCTCCTGTCGCTCTACCTTGGAATAAATTCATATTGGCAGACGACGTTATTAATAACTTGATCTAAGATAGCAGTCCCAGTCAGCTTTCTCATTGAAGGCTTAAATGGACTCAATTTAAGCAATATACGTAGTGTTTGATGTTGACATCTGAGTGCAGAGTTCAAAGATCATGAGCTTGAAAACAATTTACGACAACAATTGAATAATATTTCCTAGTTTGATGCTTAGTTTCGCAATTAAAGTGAACTACAGTGTGAACTTACGGCCTTGTGATCTCAGTTGCCTCAATGTTTAGCTTCTGTATACTAAGACTGCAATGAGCAGTTCTGGTGCTATATTTTGAATGTCAAATAGAAAGTTCAGTATGTATAAGCGTTTACCTTGATTTGACTGTATTTCCAAAATCAACTGAATTAATATGCAGCAAACATAAGATAAAAGTATGACAATCATTATCCATTCTAATAGTTACTAGCTGATTGGTCCCAGGACGTTCTAGGGAAAACTGATTTATGTGTTATGAACTTCCTTTTTATATTTTCATCATCTATCTAAGGGAATTCAGAAAATCCTAAAAAACAAACAATCAAACCTTATTAAAATAAAATGTAATAGTAAACATTTAACAGCTGTTTGGTCAACAGTCGGTCAGCCACAACGTAGGACCAGGCACAAAAATGCATCGGTCCACGTTACCATACCTTATTAGCACAACAAGACGAACGCCAAATTCATAGTAGTTACTTCAATGGATGTGATTAATATAGAAAAGATTGTATGTAAAGATATGATACAGGAAGAAAGGATTAATTATTAGAAAGAAAGGTATGAAGTAATTTTAATCTCACGGTTTAAGGGAAGACAGAGAGTGTATGCACCTATGCCATTGTGATTGATTGAGCCAATGTCACCCAGAGTCTCCAAGCGTTGGTTACAATAGTCAGGCGGACTCCAACCAAGTAGTGTGCATCTACCAACATGGGTAAGACGAGAAGTTAGTGACTTCAAGCAGTGATGTCACGTTTTGTTTTGGCCGACCCCAAAATTTCTTCCAACCATCCCCAACACTAGTCAGCATTGCGCGTCGTGGTAATCGGTGTTCAGGCATACGCAACATGTGGCCCAAACATCTCAGTCGATGAAGATTCACAACCTCATCAATTGATTTACCACCATTCCCTAATACTCTACGTCTAACCTCACTATTACTCACCCGATGATCCCAGCAGATGGGAGCAATATTTCTAAGACATCTGTGGTCAGATACTAGTAGCTTACGAGTATCTTCTACTCTTAATGGCCACGTTTTGCAGCCGTAAAGTAGAACAGAACGAACTACCGAGCAGTATACTCGTCCCTTAGTTGATAGACGGATATCTCGCCTTTGCCATAGGTGACGTAAGTTGGCAAAAGCCAAACGAGCTTTTCGAATCTGTGCAGAGATTTTGTCAGATACCAACCCATCAGGGCTGATCAGACTTCCAAGATAAGTGAAGTTGTCGACGCGTTCGACCACTTCACTCTCTATCCTTGGTTCAGGTGTTGACGCGGGTCAGTCCTGAAGCAAAAACTTGCATTTGGAGGGGAGAAGCGCATCCCAGACATCCTGGCATTGTTGCTCAGTGCTACCAGGAGACTATGAACTTTATCAGTGTCTTCACCAGACAGGACTATGTCATCTGCGTATTCTAAGTCAATAAGTGGACCTCCTGGGAGGAGATCAATGCTCGAGAATTCAGTCGACGAGAACGTTATTTTCATCAGGAGGTCTATGATAAAGTTAAACAAAAATGGATAAAGTGGACAGCCTTGACGGACACCACTTGAGGTTGCAAAATCAAATGACAGTTCGCCATAAACTCTCACTCGACTAGTAGTGTTCGAGTAAAGAGCCTTCACAAGGTTTATATACTTCCGAGGTACGCCTTTCAATGACAGACACTGCCACAGAACCTCTCAGTCTACAGAGTCAAACGCTGCTTTTAGGTCAAGAAAGACCACCATTGTCGGACGCCGATAAGTATGCCTGTGTTTTAGAACCTGACGAATGGTGAATATGTGGTCAATGCAGCCACAGTCAGGTCTGAAGCCATCCTGATATTCACGTGTTTGCATTTTACGAGTCTTAGGCTCCCGATAATTATTGAGGCTAGTATTTTAGATGCTATATTAGTCAAACTAATCCCTCTATGGTTGTCACATAGTGATTTTGACCCCTTCTTATATATCGGGTCAATAAGCGATTGCGACCAGTCAGATGGGATTACAATCTGTTCCCAGATTTTAGATAAAATATTAGCCAACCTAATCGCTAAAATTGGACCACTAACCTTCAAGACCTCTGGAGCAAATCCATCTGGACCGACTGCTCGTCTTCGTTTCAGATTGATAGTAGCCTTTCAAACTTCAGCTAGAGTTGGGTGACCTACTTCAATGTTCCATTCACGCTGTCTGGGAATGGTGGGTAGTTATAGGGGAGCTGAAGTTCAGCTGGGTTGTTCTCTAAAGTGTTTCTCCCATCATTCTAAACGTCTGTACTGGGAGCAGATAAGGATCTTGTCTTTTTCTGGGATAGTCTTTCTTACACTTGACTTTCTAGTTCCAAAAATCCCAAACATATTGGCATTGTTGCTCAGTGGTAACGAAACACTATTTTTCGGTGTCTTCATCAGACAGGACTATGTCATCTGCGTATTCCAAGTCGATGAATGGACTTACTTGAAGGAGATCAATGTTTAGTCATTAGTATCTTCTGGATGTGGGTTTAGCCGAGACCTAATAGTCAGCAGAAATAACATTCAATAAGTTATCGAATCGATTCCCCACCTAATACTCATGGATTTAAATCAATTAGTAGGAAGGCGTACGTGATAATAGCGTAAACTCTAAAGCAGTGGTTTAGCAATTACGACATTTATAGTTCAACTAATAGGTCGACGTTTCATACTCGGCTGCACATAGGCTTGTTTCGGCAACAGAGTGATTTCATTAGTCCTGTTCTATCTTCGTTTCGCTGAATGGGGTAGCGTCTTTAGCTTTCACATTTAGCGTGACTCATACACAAGCACCTGGTAAATCAATTAACTTAAAACCTTTGATATCTATAGTCCTTACAAACGAACTAAATGGCATTTAGCTAAGTATATATATTGTTATTTGGTAATTGAAAACATACAACATTTCAGCGACTTTATTCATTAAGAAAATGGGACGTTCAGTGTATGATTTTTTCACCTCTATCATATAGAGGGAATCATTGTTATTCTGTAAATCTATTCATCTTAACATACATTCTCTGTTATGCCTTTTTTCTAGTTCCTTGCTACCTGGTTTTTCTTATTCAGTCTCATTTTTCAGTAATCTTCCACCACTCAGTATGGACTGTAAAAATTGTAGCCGATTCAGATATGAATCAGATTTTATGTCTGTGATTATCCACTGACTATGCTTTTGCTCAGTAATCGTGTGATAGTCTGACACAGTGTATCTTGCCCACTTAATAGCTGTATATTCCTCTTTTAGACTGTATGGAAGTTATCTTGTATCATTCGGACCTTGCTCAAGTGGGTTTGTGCTACTCGATGTAGGCTTGCTGTTTTTCTCTGTATTTTCCCGCTGATAGTTTTCTTGTATACAGTCGGGAAACAGCATCAAAGTAATTTGTGTATAGTTGTAAACTTTGTTATTCCAGAAAGTTACGATAGTCATGTAAATAAACCCATTTTGTACATAATTACTGCTACGTACCAAAGAAACGTTCAACGTGCAGAACTTACAAGAATGTGTAACACTCTACGTAATTTGAAGGATATTTTATGGATTCTTGTAGAAGATAGCACGGAACCTTCATGGTAGTCTTTCTTTGGTTTGGTATTTAGTATGTTGTTTGATCATTCATTTATATCTTAATATACTGTTTTGTTCGTGAAACTACTAATTGAGCTCAATTACATACATATAGTTCCCTTTATTATTTTAAAGAGAGCAAGAACAAAGATTGGTGCAGAATAATATGAATTCATTTTATTTCGTTAGGTTCTCATCAGCTGCTTACAACCTAAAATATTTGAAATTCAACGCTATTACAGATATTGACATGCTTATACATCAGAAGGTGATGAAAGATAAATATATGTGTATCATGATGTAGCAAAGATTCCGTTGGAGTTAATGAGATCATAAAATTTTCGTTTCGAATAAATAAAGTTTGAGAGGGAATGTTCCAGAACATTGAAATAGTAATTAGAACTCATGGAATTAAAACACATTAGTTAATTATGTAATGAAGTAACTGAAAATAGATTAGTGGTAATAAAGAGAGATATGGGTTGAAATTGGTCAGTTATGAATGATGTAATGATAAAATTCAGAAGGAGTTGGAATGACATTAATAAACAAAGGGGGGGGTAATGTTACCACGGCAAAGAAATATTTATTACTGTTTCTTTTTGTATACAAAGATTTGGTTTTAAACATTTAATTGCTATCGCTTCGGTGAATTTCAAAAGGTTTGAATTTGATTGTTAATCACGTTGAAGGACTTCAGTATATCGACTCATATCTCTCTTTATTACCATTAATCTATTTTCAGTTACTTCATTACATAATTAACTAATGTGTTTTAATTCCATGAGTTCTAATTACTATTTCAATGTTCTGGAACATTCCCTCTCAAACTTTATTTATTCGAAACGAAAATTTTATGATCTCATTAACTCCAACGGAATCTTTGCTACATCATGATACACATATATTCATCTTTCATCACCTTCTGATGTATAAGCATGTCAATATCTGTAATAACGTTGAATTTCAAATATTTTAGGTTGTAAGCAGCTGATGAGAACCTAACGAAATAAAATGAATTCATATTATTCTGCACCAGTCTTTGTTCTTGAGCTCAGTTGATGAAAGCTTTAAATCTTTTCATTGTTCTCTTTTGAATTTAACGTAGCTGTTGCTAATCGCATCTACCTTAGTGAAATTTTTTCTGACTATTTGAAATACGATAATGTGATATATGTAGTTTATTCTCTTTTAGGGTTGTATCAAATATTTTAAATGATTGTGGTGTCCCTTTTGTACACCTAAACATCCCAACACCACAGTCAGAAAAACCTAAAGCGAATGAACCATTTTGGTTTCGTCCTAAGGGCATACTTCAACGTAATCTTGGACTTCAATGGTTGCGCCAGAATCTTATTTTAGGTAGAAACAAAGGTGTCTTATACATCGCTGATGATGACAACTCCTATAATTTACGTATTTTTGAGGAAGTAAGTTTATAAATTTTTGTTTGCTTAATTTCCATCATACTAAATTGATGCAGTTTATGCACATTTTCCTTTTTTCACTTCATTAATTGTCAATTCCTGTCAGAAAAAACCACGATTCATCAAGATAGTTGATCAGAGTTATTGACATACTAACTGTTCCATTTTATACCTTAAAGTGAGACTTGGTTTAAGTTCAGTTAGAAGCGCAGATAACTTATTTGCGGAAGAGATCGTACCATCAAGTGTATCAGCGAGTATCGGAAGTCAGGTATTTCTCATAAATAACTAGCGTCTTAGATCCTGACTTTTCATTAATTGAATGAAAATTTAGAAATCACGAGTCATATGAACAGCTTTACTACCTTTGTCGCATATATTTCAAATAGACCAGGTTTCGCAGAACTGAAGTGGGACTCTGCACTAACGTGGTGCTACATAGATATTGAAAATGGCACAGCGGTCCTGTAGATAATGGGAAGAAAATAGTAAAATTTTTGTGGATAGGCTTTTAAATCGACAACTTGATTACTTGTCTTAGTTTGCTGGATATTAATAAATGTCTGTTTAAGTAGGACAAAAGGATTTCAGTCTGTCTCACTTTTATATGTTTCAAGCCATGGTATTTTTTCTCCGCTATTTCATTACCAAAATAATTTACTTTGCTAGCACGTATTTCGTAAACTAGTCACTTATAGACAAATTCATAGCAGAGTAATAAAGCTCAAAAACATTAGTGGTTCTCATCTGGAAATGCAAATAAAAGTTTGACTAGAAACAGAAGATATTAACTTCTTTGTACCATTTATTGATTAAATTTAAGTATGAAATGTTCATCCATAACTTCAGATGCGTGGTACAAACAAAGTTTCAACATGGCCGGTTGGATTTGCAGGTGAACTCCCATGGGAGGGTTGTGTGACGTCTAAAAATCGGACGCACATCATAAGTATGTGGTCAGTGTACAAACCCGAGCGTCCTTTTCCAATTGATATGGCAGGATTTGCAGTTAATATTGATCTTATTCTTCAACACAAGAGTGCTGGATTTGACTACAAACGTTCACGTGGAATGCAGGAATCACAATTTTTGTTAGATCTTGGTTTAAAAAACTGGAGAGAATTGGAACCACTAGCAGATGGTTGTCGGAAGGTAAGTTATACTGTTCTCAAATGCTATTATGAGTATGCTGGTACCTGTTGCTGATCGTGCAGACCATCCATGCCCATCTTTATGTAGTAGGTCACTTGTCGGATTGCGAAAGGGTTTTTGACATTGTAGTAGTATTCACTACACTTATTTTGAAATATGCAGTGTAAAAATCCTAATCTGTCGTGAAATTTCGTCATAAAATTGGATTCAGTACCTACCCCCTGTTTTTATTTTTCACTCACCTAAACTTTTCATGTGGCTGTTACATTCTTATTGTTGACAAAGGAAGATTTTATTTTATCTTAGCTTGTTTTCATGCTATTGAAGAAAAAGCAGCTACTGAACTTAACATTCCTCCATTCGACTAATTAAACAGTCATTATGTTGAGGATTATATATTATTTCAATGGGTCTTTTTTGACAAGGAAGGGTCGGATGGTTTATTTTGACTTATGCAGGGATTTAGTTCTCAGATCATGTAAAACGTTCTTACAGATACATACAGAGACCTTTATCTTTCCTGTTTCAATATATCTACCGTTTTTAAGAATATTTAAAATAGTACAGATTACCACTGGTTGTTTGAAACCCAAAGTCTTAGACTGTTTTGATATTTAGTCCCTTTAATAAATTTGAATAGTGTAATAAAAAGACAAAAATTGCCAGAACTGTATGGTCAATAATCAGTTTTACAGGCAATTAGTTGTGATTGAAAAGTCTAAGGCCATGATTCCTAGTAGCCCCAGACATTGCACTAATGATTACGTCACATCCCATCGTATTTACCAATTTACAGGTTTGTGTGCACACATTTATAGGGAGGAGTCATCGAACAATGCAATCAAGGGTCAATGAACATGTGCCTAAATGGCTTCAAAATCAATGTGTGTCAAACGATCCGATCAACGTGGGTGGTAGAAAACCAGGTTCATCGATAGCGAAACATATAATTTAAACGGGGCACAAAATCGACATTAATACAGCTTTTAAAACGTTGTATAGAAATTGTGATGGACGAATTCTTAAGTTTATTGAAACCTTGGCTATTCGTAAATTTAAATCCCCCTTATGCGTACAAAAACAATTTGTCGTAACCTTGAATTTACCTTGGTAATCCTGAAGTCATTCTATGGCCTAGGATAACGCGAAAATTTCTTATTCTTCCTCTCCCCTTTGTTACATTTTTCTTGTTTTTTTTTGTCTGTTTGTTTGTACTTTAACTTTCATGTAATTGACCTTTATTAATTTTCATATAAAATGCCCTGACAAGTATATGTGTGACCAGATTGTTCGAAATGTATAGCGCAATTACATCACATTTTTCAGATCAACTCCGTCTTCTCATTGTTCTATCGAAAATTATATTTATACTTCTGCTTGGTTGGTTCTTTTAGTTTTCTTTCTAAGCACTTGGATTAATTCATAACCAGTCTTTAAAAAAAAATAGTTCTTCGTATGAAACGTAATTCATTTTAAATCAAAGAGATCTCTCAAGTCATCGATTATGGTGATCATTATCAATCGTATCGCTGTATTTTAATCATATTGCTAATATAATATATTATCGACATCTTTTTCTCATTGGTAAGTGTTACTCAAACATTTCACCGAATGGAGCCTTGACTGTAAAATTAAGAAGAAATATCCGATTATAAGGAAAATTATTTTATGGTTAAGCTGTTTGAAGAAATACGATATTGTTTAATTTTAAACACTGTCGAGACATTTTGAGGTCATTTATTGAAATTTACTAGAGTATTTTTCCTAATGAAAAGTGGGTTTTAATATATTAAATAATTACTCATACTTTCCGATTTATTGAAAGTGTTCCTTTGTTGTGATTATTTCACGACGATTTATAAGGTCTCATTGAGTGATTTCACTCGCTTATCACCAAGCAGTTGGTATTTGCTTTACGATAATTTTTCATGCTTCTCTATCCATCTGTGGAGGTTTGTATTTTCAGTCTTAGCAAATCCACGTATCATCTTACGGGACAATCGGATCAATAAAAGAAATAAACCAAAAATGAACTGAATAAAAGAAATAGTCTCTTTTTTCTGCGCGAAATAGGAACGAAAAGTCTTCTCATTACCATATTTTTACTATTTGGCCAGTTCACCATTATATTTATAGTCTGTTCAATAATCAATATTGTGCTTTACAGCTGCAGGTATTTTGTGTGCGCTCAACTGACTAGCATAAGCATTCAATCTGAATTTTATCCATTTATTATTAACGTTAACATAAGTGAGTACTTGAAAATAGATGATGTTCGTAGACTACTAGTATGTGATCATAGATGCCTTCAGAGTGTTGCTCGTGTATGCTTGAACCACCAACCAATGTTGAAGTTAGATACATTGTACTAGGTGAGAGTTACAAATTTATTGATGACGCGGTAAATATTCGTTGACTGTAGTAATTAGGACATGTATTACCTACCAAACTTAAACTTTACATCAATCTTTAAAGTCACCGACTATTGGATGGAGCTATATAGATAAGTGTAGGAGGCATGGTTGAAGTCTGCGCGATTTTTTTAACCAATGATTAGAAACTTTGGGTGATTTAGCAATGCAGGTGCACTCAATGTTTATCTTCTCTTAAATCTTAAGTTTCTAAATTTTCTTGTGACTCCTTTACTTCATGAATCCATATTTTCTTCTTGAATGCTATCTTCCGTACCTAATGTTTCCTAATACTACTAACACTGTGCTGCTTATACTACATCTTCCTGTGATGTGATACAGCAACTTGAATCGATGCACAAGTTTCTTAGGTTGTAGAGGAGAAGCGAAAAATCATCTCTTTCGCTGTTGCTAAAATTGTTAACATAATTCGAACATTCACTAACATCATATATTATCCAGCTTATTTTATTTCAAATATTTTTAACAATCTCCGGATATAATAGTCATTATTTTCCGCTTGATAGTAAATTACCACAGTAACTAATTCACCAGGCATATGAGTGTGTGCTACTCTCTAAGTATGAGGACTAGTGATACTATTCAGTAGTCCACACTCAAGCAAATGGAGCGAGGTTTGAACTTGGGACTTAGTAATTGCAAATCAAATTCTATCACCCCGCTTATAATAAAATAGTATTCGTAATATATTGATTCCTTAGTATCATTTAACCTGAAACCATCTTCCAGCTGTACAGCTATTTCTTTTTTACTTTTCACCTAGATCCTAGTGTGGCATACACGTACAACAGAACCGCTTTTAACACTATGGAATAAACTGGAATCACAAGGAGTCATATCTCCACCTATAGATGATTGGCCCTAAAATATGTAGTATGATTCTAAATGAAAACAATTATCTGTCTGTCAAAATACTCTTTATTTAGACAGTATTCACTTATCCCATCAACTATATTCAAAAGAAACCAAAAGTTACATCTAAACGTCATGTATAATCAGCTATTCAAATTGTTTATAATATAACGCATACATTTTTTTATGTAAATAATACGTAGTTCGTATCATATTATTTATAGAAATAAAATATTTTTGAATTTCTATCATTTTTGTGTATATTCTAGCTTGCTCGTCTCACTTGTTTATTTGTAATTGTGATTGTTTTAATTCTTCTTGTTGAATAATAGCTATTGTGTATAATTTATTCAGTTGAGTTTTTAAAAAAATAAAATCCTTACTATCACACAACGAAGCTATATGGTAATCAACAATTACTGTGTAGTTTGATCAGTTAATGAGAAACGTGGTTTTAACGAAGTGAATTTTCAATTCGAACAGCTTTCGCATAATTTGAGTTTTTGTATTCGTGTGATGAATTAAAGAGATAACTATGTACATGTCTGAAGTTCACAAAGTACTGAACACGAAGTACACAATGAAATACGTTATTCTAGTCTAATTAGTTTTCTTTGTACTTATTAAGACCGCTTTTACTGTATTTCTATTCGTATATATATTTCGTGCACCTATAATTGGTTGCCTATCCAGTTATTTAAATATTATTTTGTTATTTCTGCAACTCCCATCTCATCACATTGTTTTTGTACGTGATGGGTGTTGAATTTCAGATTTGATATTAATTCCTATAGATCATTGCATACAGTATAGTATAATTTTTCAAGCCAAACAGTGGTAATTTCGGCTTTCAGTTTAATACACCAACGCGTATGAATTATTCTGATTTATATTGGTTATTATATCAAGTTTTTCCCACACTTGTTTGCTATCTTTTAGATTGTGTACTTTGTATCTGTTGTTCTCATTGCATCTTGTATTTTCTAGAGTATAGTAATTCTACTTGGACATAAATATAATTGATGACTTTCGCGGGGAATATGGAGTCGTATTTTCTTCATTTTCGACTTTCAAGTCTGACTTTATTTAATAATTCATTTGCATGACCGTTTCATATAGTTTCACCTTATTAACTAGATAGATTATAACACTTGTTTTCCATTTCTCAGGGAAATCATGTTGGTAATCGGATAATGAGACTGAATTTGTTATATTCTTCATCTCCTTTATGGTAAGGTAATTCAGTTGTGACATGAAGAATACAATCGATTTCGTTTCATTTTTCTGTTACTAGCATGATCTCCATGAGAAAAGAATACTGGGTAACTAAACAACATGATAAAAATAACTGGTTAATCTTATATATTTCTGATGAGTTACCCTAAGAGTAATTAATAGTTTATAATACATATTATTGGGAACACATTACAGTAGTTTATTGCTCTGCAGTTTATTGATGGTATCTTCGCCTCATAAAGTTGGTCATATTTCGTGTTTCGATTTTGATGTTTTGTGGAATTTCTGTGGGAAGACTTGCTGTTGAAGGCTCTTCCAGTTTCTTTTCCATTTTCAACATTTTGGACCTATGTAAATCTTCCCATTCCGATCCACACTTTGAACTGGGCTGACTACTGTACACATTTTACACTTTAAAGTCCATAGTAATTAGGATGACCTGGATAAGCTAAACCTTATAAATCGTACTTGATTTTCGATCCTGCCTAATATAGCAGATTAGTCAGTTGTATATCACAACAGGTTATTCGGTTAATCCATTAATTCTGGTTTCGCTTCTTCTAATTCACATCAATTACTGTCGTTGTTTAGTGAGCTACAATTCTTCCATAGACTCAAGTTTACTAACTTGGCTAGTTCATCGTATAAATGCCATTTACATTCACAGCAAAAAGCCATTGCTCTTCGAATAAGAATTATATTGCCTTAAGATATGTGAAAAAAATTTTATAAAAAAAAATAGCCGGTCGCTTAATGATATTCCTGGTACTGTTATCCATATATAGTACAAAAATCAATACAGCACGGATGGCATGACCTCCAATCAATTTCATAGTGATATACATGTTAGAACACATCAATGTTCAACACTAGGCAAGCACAAAATACCATCATTTTGGCATTTCAATAATCAATAATAGTTTCTCATTAAACTAGATACATTTGAAACTTCGTAAATTTCTAATATTTTTTTGTTTGATGTTGTGAACAAGTTGTGTAACTATAGTCTATTCTTAACACTGTTTTTAACCTTATAAACTGTAGTTTACTTTTTATTGGGACATATTTCAGGACAATGGAAATCGTACAAGATTTGGTAGCATCCACTTTGAAAGATAATCCATACTTTAGTGCCGGTGCTGGGTTATTTGGAGTTGGGATAGGAATGGCTGCCCTTAGAAGAATGAGTCAAGTTATAAACCTTCTTGTTCGCCGTAATCTCACTTTAACTTTAGAAGTAGCCAGTCATGATAAGGCTTATCCCTGGGTTTTACATTGGATTACGCTGAAATCTAATGGACCGTTCATTAAAGGTGGAAAAAAGAAAATAGGTGGTACAAGTCAACACCTAAGTGTTGAAACTAGTGTAGTGCGTACAGAAGGCGGTCGAATCAAAGCTGCATTCGGCTTTGTGCCTAGCGTTGGCGTTCACTATATGGTTCACCAAATGAAATTAATCCGAATTGAACGTGTTCGTGCTCAACAATCTTTACAAGGTGCTACTGTAGCTCCATTTGAAAGTGTAACTCTTACGACATTCGGTCGCAATACCAGATTTTTTATTGATTTGCTCGAGGAGGCTAGAGAAGAAGCTCTTGCACGTGAAAAGGGTTGGACCGTTGTTTACAAGGTAACTAGGGCACATGTGTATTAACCCTTTTTCATGTTTAATCTTCACAATTATCGTACAATCTGATCTTACTCTAATGTCAAAAGAAAAAAACTTATCACACTAGTTGTCGTTACTATTGAATATCAGTTTTATTATATTACTAACGTGATTATTTTCATATACGGTTCATTTTTATGTTGAATATTTCCTACAGATATAATCGGAGTTGATTATAGCATCTACAGGACTTAAAAATGTATAACTACAAATAATCAAATAAACTATTTTGTGCAACTTCCCACTCTGAAAAATTTAATGTGCGAGTTACACCTGTAATAATATAGCAGTGAAGTGTTTCAAGAGATACTCCTGGAGTTCTAGTGAGAAGCCGTGACCAGTGGAGTTTAACCAGGTCTGTTGTGAGATATCAGCTCACTGAAGACAATGGTGACGGTGGCGCAACTTCGTGGATTAGTTGAAGTTAGACATTAACACCGTTGGATGCCGGCTCAGTGGTCTAGTTGGTTAAGCGCCTGGCGCGAGACTGATAGGTCCTGGGTTCGAATCCCGCGGGGTGCGGGATCGTGGATGCGCACTGCTGAGGAGTCCCATACTAGGACGAAACGGCCGTCCAGTTCTTCCAGGTCTTCCATGGTGGTCTAGCTTCAATTGATTCATGATTTCAACTATTAAAATATATGTGTTTGACTCTGCATATTACACTACCCCAAAAATATTGAAGTAAGGGATTTCTGGAATTTAGATAATTATATTTCGTTAGATTATTTTACATATTCTGAAGAATATCTGTTTAAGTACTTGTTTAGTAGAACTGGTATTATTTTTCTAAATTCATTTTCTATTCATCAATTATCGTTGTCATTAACTTACTTACTTACGTCTGTTACTCCTCGCGAAGGAGCATAGGCCGCTCACCAGCATTCTGCATCCAACCCTGTCCTGGGCAATCCTTACCAGCTCTTCCCAGTTGTTATTCATCCTTTTCATATCTGATTCCATTTCCCGACGTAATGTGTTCTTTGGCCTTCCTCCTTTCCACTTCCCTTCAGGATTCCAAGTTAGCGCTTGTCTCGTGGTGCAGTTTGATGATTTGCGTAATGTATGTCCTATCCATTTCCATCATCTTTTCCTAATTTCCTCTTCAGCTGGAAGCTGGTCTGTTCTCTCCCACAGTAGGCTGTTGCTGATGGTATCCGGCCAATGGATGTTGAGTATCTTGCGTAGACAGCTATTGATAAAAACTTGTACCTTCTTGATGGTAGTTGTTGTAGTTCTCCACAGTAGAACTGCCTTGACATTCGTATTGAAGATTCTGACTTTAATGTTGGTTGACAGTTGTTTTGAGTTCCATATGTTCTTTAATTGAAGGAATGCTGTCCTTGCTTTGCCAATCCTTGCTTTTACGTCTGCATCTGAACCTCCTTGTTCATCGGTGATGCTTCCCAGGTATGTGAAGGATTCTACATCTTCCAGAGTTTCGCCAACAAGAGTGATTGGATTTCTGTTCTCCGTGTTGTATTTGAGGACCTTGGTTTTCCCCTTGTGTATGTTGCGCCTTTTTCCACCGTCGTTGCTAGTTCTTCCGCGTATTTCTGCTTGTCGCCTCTAATGCTCTTCTTCACTTTCTTGTTTGCTTCTATGTACTCAACTTGTGCTTGGACTTTCTCTGCTCTTGTTCGACTGTTGTTAATTGCTGTCTTCTTGTTCTTTCTTTCTTTGGTCCTGTCCAGTGTTTCTATAGAGATCCATTCCTCGTGATGATGCTTCTTGCTGCCCAGAACCTCTTGACACGTTGAAGTTAATTCTTCTTTGATACCTTTCCAGTTATCCTCCATAGTAGTTTCTTCTTTTTTTAGTAGATCCTGTAAGGCTTGGAACCTGTTGTTGAGAGCTATCATGAATTCATTGAGTTTGTCAGTATCTCGAAGGAAGGCTGTATTGAACCCTTGTAGTGCTGTTTGTTCAGTTGTCCAGTTCTTCTTTAGCTTCAGTTTTAAATTGGCCACAATCAGGTGGTGATCTGAAGCTATTTCTGCTCCTCTCCTGGTTCTAACATCTCCCATTGTCCTTCGGAACTTTTTATTGGTGCAAATATGATCTATCTGGTTTTCTGTGGTGTGGTCCGGTGAGATCCATGTAGCTTTGTGTATACGTTTGTGTGGAAATATTGTGGCGCCTATGACCAATTTGTTGGATGCACACAGATTTGTAAATCTTTCCCCGTTTTTGTTTCTCTCTCCTAGTCCATGTAGTCTCATGATGTCTTCATATCCGGTGTTGTCTATTAAGACTTTTGCGTTTAGATCTGCAATCAGAATGGTGAGGTCGTTTCTTGGGCACTTCTCTACAATTGATTGCAGCCTCCCATAGAATTGATCTTTAATGTTGTCGTTGCTATCATTGGTGGGTGCATAACATTGGATAATATTCATTGTGATCCCCTCCTTCTTTGTTTTGAATGATGCTTTGATGATTCTGGATCCGTGAGATTTCCATCCTATAGGGTCGCTCACCCCACGCTCAACCCTCCTCCTTTTCCCGGACTTGGGACCGGCAGTAGCTCTAGAAGAGCTACAGGTGGAGTTATTTTGTCTACGATGAGTAAAATGCCCCACAAACTCACAAAGAGTGGTATTCGTGCTGTTCAGCAATGTGCAAAAAAGCTCTGCAGGACAGGTTTCATTACTAACACGTTGTCATTTACCGCTCATAAATGATAATCATACGGTTTTTTAGTCTAACTTATGATCTGACAATTTGCATGCATAAAAAAGTGAATCATAAACGGACGTTTTCGTCGAAGTCGATTCTTAATATATTAGTCTCATCACTGTACATTTATTTGATTGCAAGAAAATAATTCAAGCTTCCTCTGTGATTCTTTTCTAAGCGGTCAACATACACAAGATTTTAAATGATTTCATAATTTAATTGTCTAGATGCTAGGAGTTTCGTACTCAATTCTTACGGAAACAATTGTGGTTTTATGATATAATTTGCCTCGACTGTGTGTAGATTGTCTTCTAATTTCCGTCGGCCACACCGGTTCATATAAGAACATATTAAGTATAATAATCGTAGTCGTAGTTTTTTTCCCGTACAGTGAATGTATCTACCCCAAAGAACAGACGTACTTAGAAGGACTACTTATTGGTAATGAGTAGATAATTGATTCCACTTAATTATTGCTTCAGTTTAATTTTTAGTTATACTTGTTGGATGCAAGAATCATGTGTCTAATTAATTTCAGTTATTTGCTATTTATACGGTTTAGGCTGTTGGTTCGGAATGGCGCCAGTTTGGTTATCCTCGTCCTCGTCGACCTTTGAATTCTGTCATACTGCGTGATGGTATAGCTGAAACTATTGTAGCTGATGTCAAAGAGTTTGTTGGTAGGTAAGCTTTTCTAAAACAAGGCGTTATAGTTTATTTTAGTCATTATTTATCCCTTGTAGTTGATGCGGTTATCGATGAGAAGAATAAAAAGTGACTGATATATTAGTTGAACAATAATCCAGGAAAATTTTTGTCTAAGATTTCCCACATATCTGACGTTTGTCAGATACTTTTCCTGACTTCAATTGTAGAAATGTAATTAAATCATCCTAAAGTTTTATCAGGCATTTAAATGAAAACACCATATTGTCTAAATAAATCGCGTTTTGAAAGTCAAGGGACAAAATGACAGCGTTTATTGCAGATGTTTAAAAATCAGTATCAGTTCGTTAACTGTAATTCAGTATTGAAATTACTTCATGGTAGTCCTTTCTTAAAAATTTCTTTGTTATGAAATAAGTGTAGTGATTACTAAGCAATCTCTCACTACGTATTCTGTTGGATACCGATTTTCCGTTTATTATTTTTTTTCTATTGTCATTTAGACAACCAGGCCTGGTATACTGATCGTGGTATACCATATCATCGTGGTTATTTATTATATGGACCACCAGGATGTGGCAAAACTAGTTTCATAACAGCTTTGGCAGGTAACATATATAGTTTTTGTGAACATTATGTGAGGATATCAGGAGTGCATGATTTTAAAAAATCAAATAGCAGATTTATAATCATCTAAGCATTTCAGAGGAAAGTATGAATATAACTAATTGTGAAATATATCAACAAAACAGTTCTTCACCTAGAATTAGTATGGAATGTGTTGACATTGTTATGAATGTTAGAACAATCATTTGCCGCACTTTTTCGTTCAATTACAATTGAATAAATCATTTCCCAGATAAACCTTTGTAAAGATATGTATGCATGTTTTGTGTTTCACCTTTTGATTATCTGTTCAATTTGCACTAAAATTTATTGTTTATTTAATATTTCAATAAAAATAATGGTCATTTGTCAAGATAAATTTTAATGCTGAACCCTGAATAAATAAAAGTATAATGCATCGTACAAGCGATTTGTATTCATAAATTTAAACAAATCA